GCCACCGCAAATTCGAGAGGTAAGCTTTAGCGATGCATTTCGTGATTAGCCTATAGGCACAGTAGGCGAATTTTCATTTTATTGATTGTTCGAACGATCAATAAATTGAGCATTTCCGTTCCAGATCCACTACGACAACCTTGTCGCGTCGACGATGTACACGTTGCAAGTGCAGCCAATCACCAATCGGGGACTTGGCAAAGCGCTTTCGACGAACTTCGTCACCCATGCCCGATTGCTTGACGAAAACGTCATCGAGCGATTCCCTGGTGGAGAAATCATCGAATTGCCTCTGGAATCCTCTGCTTCCACCACCCTGCTCTTACCAGTCCTCTTAACCATAACCTACTTTTTCTTATAACTTTCAATCCTCGCAACTTTATAGTTACACCTTCGATTCTTCCACCTTGTATAGGCCCTTGAAAATAATTGGAATTGAGCCAATTATCCCCAATTTGCCTCACCTCAACCATCCGGGTGCCATTGCGCCAGCCAGAGTCTGCCCCAGCTATTTCGATTTGTCGTTTTGGTCATTTTCTCGTCTAGGATAGAGTTCTCAAATACGGGTATCATGTTGTTACGTTTGTAAATACTACTTTGAGTGTGATAACAGTTTTATTGATTGATAAGGAATAAATCTATACGGTATAATTCGAAACTGCACAACATATCCATCAAGGGCAGAGTGTACTCATTGGGCGGAGCTAATTTCTCGCGTCAAAGGGGTAATGAACTGTAGCGGAATATAGGCAGCCTCATGATGAGAATGCCATCGTGCCAGCATGATCTGCCCATCGGATGGTACACCGGAACTTCGCCGTACTTCCCACTAATGGACCTTTTTCAAGACCAAGGGAGGGATTGCTGTATGGTTGAGACCCGCGTCTGCATGTTTACAAACAGAGCCACAAGTTCAATCCGTGCTGACACAAAAGCCTAGCTTTGCAAAAAGGAAATCATTTCTCGCTCCGACATTGAACTACTTCGAGACGGTACCCAGCTTTTCGGAAAGCCAAGGACACGACCGCTTTGGAAGTAATACAGTGGGTCAAATCACATTGTTAATAATGAGTTGTACAAGGCCGGAAGTACAGTAGTATCCATCCAAACCTACCAGTAGTATCCATCCAAACGCTTGACGCCGCGCTGCTGATCGTGTGTGCTGCTAATCAGTTCGTGCTCTACGGCCATTCAGGAACATCCAATTTCCAAAGGCCAAAAACTGAACACAACTCCATTATGAGCATTACTGAAGTGTAGTCGAATAGTCAGTGATGTGAACAGCTGAAGCTTCCGTATATGAGACGACCTATCGCAAATGGACGCACTTCCTTACACCCCAATCTTCTTGGTTGGCTACCTAGATACTTCTCGCCAATTCTTATTCTTGCACTTATCGATAGGGAGGGGGAGGGACAAGATGAAGGGAGGCGATTAGTTCGTTTGGTCCCACTTTTCTCGGCGGAAATAACTTCGTATAGCATACATTATACGAAACGATTTCAGGTCCACATGTATGATGCATGACAGAAACCTTTCCGGCGTTTCTTAAGCCTCTTCACGGGTCAAAATCTAGGCCGATCCTCTGGCCAGTGTCGTGGTTAGAGCAGAGGACGTAACTTACAATCGTGGGCAAGTATAACGCAGTTTGCCAACCACACGAAAAAGAAACTATCGCATGGCTTCATTACGAATGTGGCCCAAGCTCGCGAAGCGAACCTTTCCGCGCAACATTTCCGCTTCTATTTGAAAGCATCGTTTGAGATTAAATCCTTAGAGCGATTTTCTCCGTGAGTGGGAGAGCAGGGTCTTGAACACAGAAGTCATGGCACCATCGCGGCTCGTGACAAGGGCGCTAAGGCCTTACCTGAACCGCCACGACCGTCACCATTTTTACTCGTTTGCAGCCTACGGTGTCTGTAGCCCTCTCATTACGACGTGGCGCTCTGTCGCGTGGTGGTGTACGAGCAGAATCATAAAAAGGACGTTCTTAATTCAACAGTTTTCCATGCTTTTTTTCTTTTACAAGCGACGTCCACTTCACAACTGTTCTACCATGTTTCGGGCGGATCAACACACCAATTCGAGTGATCCGTGCCGCTAACCTTGAGCGTAGCCAACTTATAAGCAAGCCAGTGCTTGGGAAGGTACTCTCGCCGAGGCCCAATATTTGGCCGCATATCAACCACTACAGCGAGGAATGACATCCTCGAAGTCATTGCTGTCTGTTTTCATCCTGTTTTTGGTTTACGGCGATTTTTTTGGTAGCCTTTGCTCGAGAATGGTTTATTTGAATCAAGTTTCCTCTCCGGACGATGGGGGTAGGCATTCTAGTGAAGCTTTTGTGGAAGTAGCAGGATCTATAGTGTCTGGGTGAGGCAATGTAAATCGGACCTCGGAGCACCCACCAGATTTGTCCAGCGGATTCTGAGCAGTGTGGGTTCCACCTCGAGCTTTCACGCCCACTCTACAGTGCAGCGTTTGCCTTCGGTGTAGGTCCTTTTTTGATACTTGGTCCCTCCCTTGTCAGATGCCGAACTCTTATGATGCGGCGCATTGGTATTGCGGTTTACGCGATTGACCGGTAAGCTTCAGCGCCCTCAACTTTAGGGGTAAGGTTTCCACCGCGATCTAAGCGGACCAGAGACCTCCTGTTTCTGGGTTCCCTCCCCCTCTAGGCTTGCGACTCACCGTTACTCTCGCAATCGAGGTGACCACATTTTAGTTATGCGTCTTCTGCCAAGTTTGTTGCACTCACAAGTATGCGAACAGCGCTTTTCAGACAATTGATGCATCGCATCTTTTTCCTGATAAGTTAGTTCTTGAAGAATGTGGGAAACAAGAACGAGCCGGTAAGTCAAACTTTCTAGTTCATTGCTATGAAGATCCCATTGAGGAAGTTCAGGTTGATCGCGATGAGCTCCTGAATGTGGATGACAGAAACTGGAAATCGGTGGTTTGTCGACGGTGTGACTCGTTGATTTTCCCCGAAGACAGAGTTAAGTTAGTGGATGGTGGGTTATCAACGGTCATTCTGGAAATAATGCAAGGGAGAATTCAACGACAAGGTCGGAGGTCGAAGAAGGAGGAACTTCCATAGTGGAAAGACAGGCGGACCCTCTGAAGGGTGTGGACCGACACGCAATTCGCAGCGAAGGATATGCCCCGGCGATCTAGCATGGCCGTCCCCGCGCCGCTATCGCCGCTGCCCGCCCATCCCTCGCCGTCTGGCTCTAGCCGCCTAGCAGAGAGAGCGTTAGCGTTGCTGATGGCAGTGCCGATGAGATATTACCAACACGCAAGTCAACGGGCAAAAGGGGTGTCTCACTTCTCGGGTTCTGGGTTATTTTTCTTGGTTTTTTCTTCTTTATCTCTGCAAACACTGTCCATCACTACCTTGATTTTGGTGGTACAGTGGGCTGTCTTTAAATCGTGAACTCCACCTTCAAAATAACGATCGAAGAAGAAGTGAGGCAGGCTAACGTGGTAACCGTATCTAATCGCACCTGAGCTCTTGGAAAATCGCGGCGTTCTCGCCGCAGATAGCATTTTAGAGGGACTTTAGTTGCCTAAACCTCAATGTGTGAATGACCCGCCCACAAATGGGATCTCCTGCTCCTACGGCCACTAGATTGAATAAAGTCGAAGCAGCTTGTAGCTATGAAAGAGTGGCGCCAAGGTTACTATATTCCACTATTTATTTATTCGTTTTTCACTTTCAGATTATAAAGCTAGACTTCCTCTGATGAGCCCAGGCGGTAAAGGCTGCACGGAAACCGAAGAGGTGTCTTTGTGGTGGTATACGCAAAGCGATATGGATTTTGACACCGTCGGTTTCGCTTGGGTTGTGATTGATAACAAAAAGGTAAGGATAAGGCTTTCCCGCAGTCTTTCCAGCTGTGATCAACCGGTTGGGAAGACATTCGCACTTTTTCGAAACTTCATTTTCAAAAATTTCCTCCCCCTCCTTTGGAGGGGTCTCGATGCGATCCCTCACCACTACCATCAGCTTTGAACAGGGAAGGAGGAATACGACCTCCTCCCCGTTCGCACTTTTCCAAGGTAACGTTAACCTCGAATAACCCCAAAAAACCATCCCCTCTCAAGTCGGAAGTATGATCCCTGTTCTAGTTGTGCGAACGAACGGTTGAGCCTGTTCCCAACTGGGAAAGACTCTTGAAATCGTAAAGGCATTTCCAACACATGTTTTTTGCAGACTCTCCTGTGTGGTGATTGCGAGTTTGGACCGATTGGTCTACGAACTCTTGACGACAAACAGTACTGGGTGGCAGCTGAAAGAGTCGCGCATGTCGACAAGCCACCACCGCCGGGAGCCAAACCGAGACCAAAGAAGGACAAAAAGAAGAAGCAGTAGATACCTCACATAAAGAGAAATGACTCGAAATGCTAACACGAACAATAAACATGTTGACCTTCACTGTGTTTGAGTGATTGAGTAGTTATCATAGAAGTACCTCTTTTAGCCCGAGTTTACACCCTAGATGATAGTGGAAAACTCCAAGGTCCTGTGCCAGCATTACGTCCGCAAATTGCTGCTCCACAGCCTGCCGATTTCAAAAATTGGTGCCAAATTGGTTGAAAAGACCATCGACTCTTTACTTGAATGGTGTAAATGGCCTATGGCCATTTTTGGAAATAGTTGAACACTGCGATGGTTTTGGGAAAAGACTGACGTTTAATCTCTACAGGAACAAGTATGAGCAGCTCATTCGAGTGTTCCTTGTCCATTTCGCTCCTCCATCCTTTGGGAAGCTTCACAGAAGTACTACCGTTCAAGAAAATTTTGGATTCATCCTACTTTATATATTTGGAGTTGGAGTTGATGAAAAGTACACTGTACCCGGCTATTCGCTGACACATTCAAGGGGTGATGTCTCGATAAGGTCTGAGATGGAGAAGGCGGAAGTAAAAAAGTGAAACGTACCCAGATTGAATGGCGGGCGGATCCCTAGGGCTGCGGGAAGATCTTCATCATCATCTCTTCGCAACGAAGAGTATGTACGACCCTAGACGCCTAGCAGGGTCATGCCGGACCACGCCCACCCCCTCGCCGTCTGGCGTAAATCGCCCAGTGGAGAGACCATTAGCGTTGAAGAGGGGCATCGAAGAGAGGCAGACACATCAATGCTGAAATCAACAAGCAAAAAAGGGTTTCATTTTGCGGCTTCTGCACCCTTTCTCGTGGCTTTTTCTTCATTCGGCACCTTCACCGCTGATTTCTAATTTTTTTTTTTTTTTTTTTTTTGTTCGGTTGCCTCACCGTAAGCTTCGGCCCTATATACGCCGGGTCTAGTTATACGAAAAAAAAACAACGGGCTGACTTAATGCTTGAGACTGACTTCAAGTCGTGTCATCGTTTCCATAAATCACTAGATTGGTCCCCGTCAGCCGCATCGGACCATCCTTCCCTGCTTACGTTTTGCGTCTTCCGCTGCGATCCTTTCCACCTTACACAAACACCCTGTGGAGGTGACACATTATACCTTTCTTATATATCTAACGTTTTTGATGAGAAAATGAATATATGTCAAGTACTCTAGAAATGACTACACTTAACGAGGAGGGCTTGCTAGAGACCATTGCGCCCACCCGACTCATTGTTGCCTTGCTACACAAAATACTTTGCAATGTGACGGCAACAGCGCGTTTAAACTTGAGCCGTTCTTGAAGCATAATTGAATGTTAATAGTAAATAAATAAATAAATAGATAAATAGAAACGTGAAGGTCGCTTGTAGTAATTTCTACAGTGGGTAGTAGAAATATGCTGTTGCAGCGGTAATGCAGACATTTAAACTTGATGCCACCGCCAGGTCCGAAAGGGGCAATGGAAGGGCCTCCCTATCCTGTTCGCATCGTTGAAGATTCCTGGCTTCGTTTCACGTTTCGCAGCTAATTCAGCCAAGCCTATCTGTTGGGTGCGTCGCGCAATCATATCCGCAGCCTCTCTCTTCTGTTGACTCTACAGCACGAGAATCACTGATAGATTGGTGGGTCAGGTAGACGGTTAGACAATAGTTATGGGTCGGGGAAATCCTCGAACCCGCTTGGCCGTCCGTACATTGCCAGGCGGCGTACATTGGTTTGCGGAGTTGTCACTGGCGTGGGTGTTCGTAAGACATTCACGTGTGCATCTTTTTGGTTGCGGGCCCAAGTCATAGAGCGGTTGATTGAAGGGACTGTGCAGCAGACAAAGGAAAGAAGCGTTCTGAAATAAAACGCAATATATGTGGTGGTGCTGCAGGGTTCTGTCGCGCCTCATTCCCTGATACTCAATGCGTGAGGGATTTTGTAATGGAAAGCAGTATGGCGAAAAAATGGATAGAGGTCATTATATCAGAGATTAGATTTGGCGGCCACATGTGGTCGGGCTCTCACTGTCGGCTCGCAAGGAAAAGATCAACCTCTTCATTCCATCTACGGTTGGCTCTGCCCGTTTCCGGTCCCTCCCTTGTGAAGGCAGAATAGCGGAGGACAGACGGTTTAATTAGGGTGTCTACACTCTCCTGCTGCGTTTTTGAAACTCAGAGTAGTAGAGGATCGCTAAGTGGTAATGTTGCTTGCAGTTTATATATGAAACATACCAACCCTTGACTTTCGATATACACACTATTCGGTCGACCAAGATGCTCCCTGATTACATACTATATAACTCTAACTATGCACATTACACACCTAGCCACTCGATATAGTTTGAGAGCATCTCGCTGGGGGCTTTATAGTAGCGCTTGTCACACGTAAGAGCAAAAGGAGTGATTCTGGAACGGAATGAAGACAATGTTCCAGCTCAGCTGGGGTCATGGCTATAGCGCGTACCTATAGCTTCCAGTCGACTACGTATAACTTCAACACGTTACGTGTGAGTGCTGAAAGCTATGGTACGTATACCATGAAAAGCTGAGTTGGAATGAAATGGTGCCCCGGTAGCGTAACTGGTAGCGCACTTGCCCGGAAAGCGAGAGGTGCGGGTTCTAGTCCCGCCTGGGGCGAAAGTTTTGTTCACAACCCAGCATTCTTGTGAAACATTCGCAAGGCGAACTGCGGCCAAAACAGCAGTTAACAAACAAAACAAGTCAAAATCAATGCTTTTCGCCGCTTTTGGGAGAACTCTTTCGGCATGAAACTTTTTCGTTGCCTCCAGCACACCTGACGTATTCACAGGGAAAGAATGCAAGATTTCTTCAAGGAATAGCTCTGTTGGTAGTCAAAGATTCAGCTGGTAAAGTGGAATGATCTCAATAACAGCCAGAAACGAATGATCGGACTGACTGATGACTCAAACCACTTCTCTGACACAATGATGTACCCCAGTTCTCATCATGGGGTAATCAACGATGATGTTATCAATATCACAACCCTCAACATATTCGAATCGTGGCGTTTTCCAGTGATTCCTTCGTGTACTTAAGGGTGATTCAGTCGTGTAAACATCTAACTAAGCTGTGGTTCTGTATAATTTGTATGCGAATCCAAAGTTTTTGAGGTGAGTAGAGCTTCCTGCACTTTTCCCTGTCAATTATGGGATCGCCTTATGCTTACTCACTTTAATGGTACCTATTCGATGGATTTCAGTGGAAGGCGGATACGGAAGAAAATTATTCCTGAAGAAGGTCACAGGAAGGCGAGAGAAGGTGAGTGTTGAATGACCAGTGACCTCGGTAGTAGCCAAGTATGCCGTTTTCAGGTTAATCGAGCTAATCTTCTCAATGTGGACAACAAGAACTGGCAGTCAATTGTTTGCCGACGATGTGACTCTCTCATACTTTTTGAGGACAAAGTAGACCTTTTGGAAGGTATAATTATTCCAGTTTGAACAAAATGCAACGCTATCTCGAGAGGGATGTTGTGGAGGTGCCGTAGGTGCTCGGCACGCAAAGGCGAGCAAACGTTTTCAAGCAACCCAAACATTTTAAGGGGCTATACGACCAAGGCACTGTACGTAGTTCGCGATCGTATATGCGAATAGGCGACCAGGCGAACAAGCGATTAGTCTGTAAGGGAAAGGGGATACCTATCGACAGGCGAGCAGGTGCCATACACATCGATTGCTTTGCCCCGCCCACTGAGCGATTGCCTAATCGCCTTATTGCAGCTATGAACGCAGCTTATGAGCGTTCAGAGTTGGCGATCGTACGTGCGATTAGGCGATTAGGCGAGTAGGCGATTAGGCGGGGAAGACTACATACGTATTGATTGGTTTGCTCCGCCCATAGAGCGTTGTAGGCGAGTAGGCGAGTAGGCGATAGGCGATTAGGCGATCGCTCAATGGGCGGAGCAACAAATCAATACGTATCCTTCCCTTATCGCCTACTCGCCTACTCGCCTAATCGCCTAATCGATACGTATACTTTTCTTTTTGAATCATCGCCTAATCGCACGTACGATCCCCAACTATGAACGCTTTGAGCTTACAAGCTTGAACGAGGTAAAGCCTCCAGAATATGTGAAAATTTTCGTTTCACTCAGCGTTCTTACCTACCTTTCCCATACCCCTCCCCTTTAAGCTTATTCATAGGGAAGCCCACATCTAGCCATAGCTTCCAGAATGCTGCTGTAAACGTCCGTCTATGCAATGCTGGAGGGAACGTGCGCATTCACCCGATTAATACCCGACGTTAAATAGCGCTGCCCGCTGTCGCCCAGCGTTTACAGTAGTCACTCAAGTTTCCAATTGCAAATGGAGAATGCCATCCATTCACTACTTAGGCTAATCTTCTGCCACCAAATCAAAAGAAACAGTCAAAACAATTCTTCTTACTCCCGCGAAATATTGCGATCGGATGAAATTCAGCCAGTTGTCCCCAGTATGCCTTAGCTTAACCACCCACCGGTAGCCAAGCTATTTCGATTTGTCGCGTCTAACATTCTGTCGTTCAGGAGAGAGTTCAGAAACAGCGGAGGCTCATTCCTCACGAAATACCCTTATATTTCCACACGAAGTCGGCACTCTCATTTTCATTCTCATTTCATT